TGGGGCACCCAGGCACCCTGCAGGCAGGGGCTGCTCTGGCCTGGCTGGAGCAGATCCTGGCTGTGGTGGGGTGAGGAGGGGGTGGTTGCTCAAGCCTCCCCATCCCGCCCTCCCCTTTACTCAGTTCACCAATTAAATGGAATTTTTACATCTCTAGTGCAGGATGAGTGAGTTGCAGCCTGTTCCAGGTGCTAGCAGTGATGACAGAACAGAAGCAGGAAATAGATGACTTGGGTTTTTAAATGAGTCTGCTGGTATTGGGATGCTTAACAGTCCGCTTGGCCTGGCACAGAGTAACTAGCACCTGAACAAAACCCATTTAGAGGGTAAAAAATAATTCAAGCTAGCAAATAGGCAGTTTTCAGATCCCACATCCCTTGTTTGTGTGGGGTAGCTTCGAGCCTGTTTCACCACTGTACGAGAGTGTCTTGTTACAGTGCAAGAAGTGCAGTCGCACCCCAGTGGCAGGGGGGCTGTGCAGAACTCCATTGTGGCTTTTTCTAAATATGTACAATGATGGGATGCTAGGCTTTCCCCGATCCTCACCGTTTGGCTGTGCTGTATGGTACGACGGGGGTGGGAGGAGGAGAGGAAGTAGGTGGATGGTTCTGTAACTCCATGGGTCAGTGTCTCAAGTCAAGTGGACTGATTGTGTATGTCTGAGTGGAAGCAGTGGTGGAGCTTTAATTTTTAGTAATTGTGTGTGCTTTACCCTCCCCCTAGTTTGAGTTCCTCCCCATTAGGGCAGCAGGCCTCTGCTGGGGTCCCTAATCCTTCTTTACAGCCATTTACTCTCAGCAGGGCTTTGACAGTGATCAGGACTAAACCTCAAACAATGGGAGATCTTGCTAAAATGCAGCACTGTTGACTGCCCATTTGAGGGCTGGAATTAACTCTGTGGTAGGGATGTCAATGTGTATTTGACTACATGATTAACCAGTAAACCTTGGCTTATTGGTTAATCTTGTTGACTCCATGCATTCTCCCTCCCCCTCCCTTGTGGCCTCTGTATCAGAGGCAGCTGATAGAGGCAGCAGTGCAGAGGGTGAGGGAGCCAGGCTGGAGCTGATATGCATGGGAAACTGGCTTTCAAGTAGGCTCCCCGTGCACACTGACTCTGTGAACCCTGCTGTCACCCCCCCTTGCTGGTCTGCGGCAGCGGCCTGTCCGCAGGGTCTGCTGCCACCTCTGTATTAGGGATGTTAAAGAATAGTCGACTATCTGATAAGCATTTCCTTATCGGATAGTCTTTTGATAACTTCACTAGTTGATTCTCCCCACTGCCCCTATGAGAGAGGGGCAGCATGCTGGGGAGGGGTATTTCAAAGTGGCAGTGCTGCACCGCTGCTCCTTTGAAACCTCAAGGCAGTGTGCCGCTGCACGGATCAGCTGTGCGGCGGCTGCCCCTTTAAAACACTTCCTCCGCGCATTTCAAATGGAAAGTAATGGAGTCTGGGATCAGCTGATCCTGGGCTCTGCTAGACATTTCCCCAGAACCCGCGGTCAGTTGGGGAGTCCCCAGCTGACCCCGGGTTCCGCTGCCGCGCAGAGTCTAGAATCACCTGGGGAGTCCCCAGCTGACTCCAGGCTCCTCGTGGTGTTTCCCCAGAACTCTGGATCAGCTGGGAACTCCCCAGCTGATACCAGGCTCCTTCCGGCACTTCCCCAGAACCTGGGGCGGGTTCCGAGAAAGTGCTGTGTGGAGCCGGGGTCAGCTGGGGAGTCCTCAGTTGACTCTGGGCTCCTAGTGGCATGCAGAGTAGCATGGAGCCCAGGGTTAGTGGTGGGGACTCTGAGTCCCCTGCTGACCCTGGGCTCCATAACTTTGAAATGCACAGTGGGGACTCTTGTGCATTTCAAAGCAGGCATCTTTGTGCAGCCCGGAGCCCGGAGTCAGCAGGACTTCCCGCTGGCCCCGGGCTGTACGCAGAATTCTGCATTCCTCCTTTGAAATGTGCAAGAGCCTCAGCGGGGGCTCTTGTACATTTCAAAGGAGGAATGTGGAAGTGCCTATCGACTAGTTGATGGAAATTCCATCGACTAGTCAATTAACTGCATTTTAACATCCTTACTCTGTATCAGCTGGTCTGCATAGGGACTTGGTTTTTGAACTGGCTCTCCTGGCTGATGGGCTCTCACCTGCCACTCTGTGCAGCTGCCTCTAATACAGGGGAGTCCCTGTTAAGATTTCATGAGGTTACATGACTATTAGTTGCACGATATCCAACATCCCTACTCTGTGGGTGTTAAGAGTTCATGTTTCCCTTCAAATTGACTTGATCTGGCTTGTTGTTAGCTCCAGATTTTGATAAGGTGCCATGAGGCATCTGTGAGATGCATAAGGGATTTCTAAACCTCTAAAGATGCCTTTTATAGCTGTTCTGTCCTTCAGCTTCCCTTTCTTCCTTTCCCAGGATTCTGTGCCTTTGGTGGATCAGCAGTTACTTTATACATGCTGTCCCTACCTTGGTGAGTATTGTATTGATGCTAGTGCTAGCATTCTTTGGTCTCATGAGTCAGATCATCTTTCTTACCCCTCCCCACAACCTTAAATCTCAGCCATGTAACTTTGACCTTGATTAAAAGACCAAGTCATGAATATGTTGATAGAAGTACCTCTCAGGGGAGAGGGAGGCTGCAGACTGGCTGCAGTTCTGGCTGGGTAGAATGAGTGATTCACAGGAGTGGGCCAGCCTGGCTCTCCATGAAAGTTGGACTTGAATGGAGGAACGCCAGGCTGCCCAATGCTCTGTTTAAAGTAGAAGGGTTTGGATTCTGACAGTACCCTGATCTCTAGGCTGACACTTACTTAAGGCAGAGAGGGGGAATTCCTTTGTACCTTAATAGCTTTTAGTTTCAAACTTTTGTTGTCAGAATTGACTGAGGTACACTGTCACTTGCATTGTTTCCTTAAGAGACTGCTTACTAGTGGGTGCACTCATACAACAGAGGCACCTGCCTGACTTACGAAGGGCCAGTGTTGGCTCTGAATGTGATAGGGAGAAGTGTTACTTCATCTTGCA